GTGCGGGCCGCCCGTGACGGCGGGTCCCCTCAGCCCCGCAGGGACCGGGCACGGCCCGGCCCATGGCGCACCTGCAGCCGGCTGGAGCGGAGGTGCCGGTGTCTGTCCCGGTGCCTGCGTGAGAGGCTGCAGCTGGAAGCGGCTCATCGCCCGTCGCGCCTGTAATTAATGACTTACGGCAAAGTCAAGGCAGTCTTACTCGCGTCACAGTAAGGAGTTTAGAAAGTCAGCAGTGACTGTAGCTGACACTAAAAAAAAAAAGTTTTAAAATGGCTGTTTAGCAAAAAAGCTTGCCACTCTTTACCGCTACTTGAAAAGAGGTAGGAGACAGGTGAAGGTCGGTCTCTTCTGCCAGGCAGCCAGTGAGAAGAGGAGAGGACATGGTCTTTAGCTGTGCCAGGGGACGTTTCGATTGGATATTGAGGGCTGCCCGGGGAGGTGGTGGAGTCACCATCACTGACGCGTTTAAGGACTGGCACTCAGTGCCAGGCTTTGGTTGACAAGGCAGTGTTGGCCTTAATGATCTCAGAGGCCTTTTCCAACCTAGCTGATACTAATTCTTATTTTTTGTCCTTGATTTATGAGTTTTCTCAGTGGAGCCATGCTTTGAAAAGCAATGCTGCCAGACTGTCATGGTGTATCCTGTCCTCAGGTGACTCAATGAAATTTCAGAGGTGAAACAAACTGGAGATGGCTAGCTCTGGAAGTGTATTAGAAAATAGTATCTTCCTTTCAAATTAAATACTTTTCCTATGAACTTCATAAATGCAGAATGACACAAAAGTTTGTCAGAATTATCCTTTCCTACAGAAAATCAAGGAGCAGCTGAGCCCTTTATCAGCTGTTTCAAAACAGGAAGCCATGTGATTAAACATTTTAACACTCCAGCGCAGTGGAAGCCGCAGAGATGCCAGAGCACACCTGGAAATGTAAAGTGTGTCAAGATTTTTGATACATTACTGCACTCCAGCCTTTGTGAGCACTAGAATAAATATAATGGCTTTTGTAAAACATGTTTTCCAGGCTTCTTGGAACACCAAACTGCAACATCTTCAGGACAGTTGAAATTCTTCTTTGAAATTAATGTCGATGAAATGATGCAAAAAGTTGTTGGGAAAAAGAGCTTGTTCATTTCCAGAATAGAAAAAACTCAGAAATAATATTGTTTAATATATATATATTTTTATATAAGCATATCAGACTTGCTCATGACAATGGTTAATCTCAGTGAGAACAGCTAACCTCCTTCCAGTTCCAAGAACTGGAATTGGGTCTCCTGAAGTCAGTGGAGCTATAAAAGTGGAAGTGTTGCTGTCTACAGCACATGTTATAAAACCCCAGAAGTCTAATTATGACCTGTTTATCACTTGTTTTTAAAGGAATTTTTTTTGAATATGTGGAAGGTGGTGAGTCAAAGACCAGATCAATAGATCTTCTTGATCTTAGACCTGAGTAAGTATGATATTACTTCAGAAAACAGCACTCTCTACCTTTTTATAGCATGTTCATGTACAGTTCTGTTTAACTGTATTAGACATAATTGAGACCAGTTATTATGTAGAGCCTATGTACTCTACTCAGACAGCTCTGGTAGGAAGGGCTTCAGAAAAATAACAAAATGCCACCATTAAATAAAGTTGCCCAAATCCATGGAGCTTATTAAGCAGAAAGACATGAAGTAATATGATTGTCTTAATACCAGCACTGATATGGAAGAGGCCTTGCATGTAAGCCCAAGTCAGTACAGTGTCAGCTGGATATGCAGGATGAAAAATCCAAATTTAAAAATTATTAGGTTTTCTCTACCTGTGGCTGTCCAGTATAGTGCTGTGGGTAAAACTTGTCAAGTCTCTTTGTGAAAGAAGTAAATTGTCTGGTGTTACTGAATATGAGTATAAACACTGACAGGATACTTACAGAATGTAGTGGCGCCCTTTTAGAAGACTGACCTAGAAAATCCCCTTTAGACTTGAATAATTCCCATAGTAACAGAAATGCTTGGCTTTCTTGCTAAACTGATTTTAAGAGTGTGTTGTGATTTGACTGCTGGGTATTGTCAACTCCTAGTTTCTCACAGAAAGCCAGAAATCAGTAGTTACCTGTTGATGTGGAAAGATGATCCAGTTCCCCAGACCAGCTGTGGCCCCCTCACTGGGGGCTCCAGGGACATCAGTAGACTGGACCACGGAGTAGTTACTGTCACAACTAAGAGGTGTGGAAACAGACATAGATTTCTGAAGGCACAGACCGAGATAAATTTAAGATTTATTTAAGATTTAATTTATCTTGTTACTACTTCATTGGCAATTTGTTTGGAATGTATGAAATTCCAGTTTAATTCAGATATTTAAACTGACAGTTTGGGACACATGTCTTCCGTGCCTGATCCTCCATGGAAGTAATTTGAAAAGATAAATTTCTTGCCAAGCTACAGTTTTTAAAAGTTTTTACTGTACAACTTCAGTAAGAGAGGAAAGGAGGTATAAAAAACAAGAAAGATTTATCCTTATTTCTGTAGGCCTTTATTGAATGAGATAAATGGATGACATTTAATTGCTTACCTCAGTTTCTCTCCAAATAAATAATATTCTTGGGTTTAAATTCATAATTTGTGAATAAATAATGTGGTGGGTTTGTGTTTGGGGTATTGAGTTTGTTTTCATTCTTTTCTCATAATTAGCACAGATGTTACAGCCTTAGTAGAAGAAATCCAAAAAAGAGAACCTCTCATCACAGATTCCTGTTTGGAACATGTCATACATCTAGTACAAAGATTGCAGGAGAAGCTAGGGGAAGAACAGAATCACAGATTCTCCCTTTTTAAGGTCAGAGGAGTCTTTAAAATAATTTTGGGCATTGGAGGGGGTTTAAGTTGTGATACTCTGAGTATGTTTATACTGCTGTATATTGTGTTCTATGACTGATTTCTTGGCACTTTTCAGTCCTCTCTGCACTTTTAGAGCAACTGAATCTGGCCTGGTCAGGAATTCCCCCAAAAAGGCTAAGAGGTATAACTGTCCTAGACATTGTTTAAACAGGCTTATGCACTAGGGTGTGTTTTGGATGGAGAGAAATCAATCTTTTTGTTGAATAAGAGTTTGTGCAACACCCATAGTTACATTTAAACAAAACCTGTAAATAGACCTGAAGTAAATTAGCTATTGGGAAAGGACCAAACTATTTTCATACATGTGTCTACTTGTTCTTCATTTTGTGAAATTTGTGGGATTTATGCTATTATTTTATGGGGTTTTATGCTACATGCAGTTGTCATTACAAATCCTGGTTTTCATTACTTTCTGTCATTACTATTATCTTTTAATATTGATAAATTGAGCTTCGGCTTACAGACAGCACTTGAAATATTATTTCAAACAAGTAGGATATTAAAGAACAATGATTACAGAGACCTTTCAGAGCTCCATTCCAGGACTGAGTCTGTCAGACAAGAATAGATTTAATTGTTTTTAATTGTGGAAATGAAACTTTATTCCAGATATGGCATGCTACAATCTGACATCGTTAAACGTTGTATCTTTATTGTGACAGCAGATGGCAATGTGTAGCTGTTAAGCAATGTTGGTCAGTGCTATGGTGCTTATTGTTACTTTAAATGAAAAGAGAAAAAGTTTTGTGTTGGTTTGTTCGGCTAAAAAACCAATTACATATTTCTAGTATCACTTTGGCTCTTTTGAACAACAATATTCATCTAGGTGAATTCTGTAAAGAAGGATATATTTAACCTTGAAAACAGAGCTATCTAGCAAGACATCTTAAATTTAAAAAGTTTCTCTTCCAAGTTATGCTCTCAACTGAGATAATGCTGTGCTTTTCAAAAGCTTTAAAAATTGTTTGCTCATCACAGAGACTGACAAATCTTCAAATACTTGTTCAAACTTGAGTGTAAATAATGTATTTGTTCATTGTTGAGTGTAGTGCTGTGTCTGAGCTTCTATATTTGGAAATAATAGAAGCAGTCAAATCCAATCAGTGCTGGTTTATTTCCTTCACTCAAGAGTGGTTAGAAGTGTGTGAGAAGAACTTTTTTGATGTTTCAGTTTCATTTAAGGCTTCTAAATGAAACACGAGTACCAGGTCCTTCTGAGGTATTAATAAAATATAAGAGATGGGTGGGAGTGAGATTTTTTTTTCTTTTCCCTCAAAAAATGTTCAGTGTGTGCATTGTTTGGAAATGAACAGTTTTTATTCCTGTTGCACTGGGGCATAATCTGAAGTGTAAAAACTCATATTTTTGTTATTTCCAGTAATTGTGGTGATAGTGGTATGTTAGGCACCCTGCAGAGAAATGAGCTTTTATAGGAATTTCTCAGGTTCTAAACTATTCCATGGTAGTGGTGATTTGCAGATTTTTGTCTTAGGTACAGCTGTAGCAGATTTCACAGAAGAGAGGTATATTTATTCTAATATTGCCTTAGGGTTTGGTTATTGTATCATTTGCACAGGCAATTCTTGCTGGCTCAGAGTTCTGTGGATGAAGCAACTGCAGCACTGGGCATTGGAGGAACAGAATTAGTCTCATAATCTGAAATTACATAAAAACCCATCTCAATTTCCTCCCTTTTTTCATAATTTCAAAATACCTTTGTTGTTCAGAGCTGCCTGCATGTAGTACTAAAAATGTTACGGGTGAGATTTCCATAAATTTCCATAATTATTGATTCTCATATGCAGATGGATATTGTGGCTCTTTTTAAAAAACATTCAAAAACTATTCAAAAAATATTTTTGTCATTTCCACATCTTGGTTGCTCATTCCCACTCCTGTAGCCAAAAGTACAACTCGTGTGCTTTCTCTAGAGAGCAGAAATAGCTGTTTCTGTAGCATAAAATACATTTTCTGTTTCTCTCCCTCTCAGTCCTTCACTTAACAATTGTTATTTCCATTTTGATGAGTCCCTACTCTTCTGATTAGAAGATCAGTGAGCCTTTCTCATTTCTCTTTTGGAAACAGGCAGCTTGGAAAACTTGAGATAAGAAAAAGAAGTTGAAGCTCTGGTAATATATTAGTAATTAAATCTCACTGTTTATACACAGTTTCTTCTTCATTCTTTCACTACGGAAAAGGCCGAGTGAACCACTGGGGTATTTTTAACATCCCTTTACTGACTGTCAGCAATTGCTGTGATTTCCCAGTTTATGATTTTATTATGCTTGAGGGGAGGGCAGCTTGTAATAGGTGAAAATTGAGTGCAAACCATGTTTTACAGCAGCCAGTTTATTCAAACACCAACCAGATCATATTTTTTTGGTTCTTTTTAAAGCATCATGGCATGGTGACTTCCACTGCAGAATCTGAAACTATTTTCACCTCTGTTTAATAGACCTTAGTATGTGTTATTATGGCTGTGGGCTCATTCACATGAATGATCCTATACTGTCTGATTAAAGCAGTATTAGAAAGCAGTGCCCTCCACAACCTACACAATACATGCAGACTTTAAAGTTGAAATTCTGTCTTGGAATTTTGTCTTAAATCTGAATATCTTTGTTGTGGTTCATACCTTGTCTTGATCTCATAGGACAGAGCTGTAGCTTATATATCTTTTTCCTGTTTTGTATAACAAAGTCACATACCAACTGGAAGCATCCCATACCCTAAAAATCTCGAATTTAACAGGATTTCTTGATTCACTGGCTAAGGCTTAATATTAGTTGTGATTTCTTTCATCAGTGATCTTACAGTCATGGTCTCCTCTTTTGTTTTTCCCATTCAGCTCTGGTCTAGGGTTGCTTTGCTGGTCTTGGAGAGGGTGAAGAAAATGCAAACCTGGGAAAAAAACCAGTTCACTGAAATAAAGTATAAAATTGAAATCAATAATAGATAACATCTTCAGTCATCTTCAGTGATAGGATTAATGAGGGATTTCTTCTTCTCTAACAGGAGGAGGAGAAGAAAATTAATCTGTTGAATATTTTGAGCAACTTTGTTTATTTTGTTCGCATCAAATGTTTTTCCTCTCACTGCCCCACTTCTATTTCAGGTGCTTAGAACACACATATTGCCTCTGACTAATGTCGCATTTAACAAATCTGGTTCCCGGTAAGTTGCTTTCAAAGTCAGAGTACATAAACATTAATTGAAGTTTTGTACTTGTAAATTAAATGGTAACAAAACTTCAGTACTCTTACCGCAAAAAGAATTCAGCTCTGCTGCTTATAAGCAGCTTCAGGCATAGTTGGGGATTATATTTCAGGCCTCTGGGAGAACCAATAGGAGATATAAAAAAGTAGCAGGTGAGATTCAATTTTTGTAATTTTTTTCTTCCACAGCCATAGTCTGTTGACAGTTACCATATTACAGAAAGAACCACCTTTATGGCAATAAGCTAAATATTGCTGAAAACTAAATGAGTCTGACATAAACTCATTTGAGAATTTCACTGTTGTGAAAGTGTAGCTTACATGTTAATTGATTTCATTGTGGATGCATCTCTTATCATTTTTTCCTTTGTATCTTGAAAGCAGCAGCATGCTTTGTAGTTGAAATACATTAAAGATTAGAAAAAAGGTGTTTTTGTGAATAAGATGTTACAAAGAAAGAAGAAAATGAACCTTTATGGTAATAAATCTGTATTTTTGAAAGAGAGGAGATTTAGGGTCTGAGACAGTGCTAACCAAAATCTGTGGAAATAATTTGGCTGTGCATTGAGACCACTAAGATCTTTGCTGTATTGAGAAATTAATTTCTCTTTGCTTTAGCTTTATCACTGGAAGCTATGATAGAACCTGCAAACTGTGGGATACAGCATCGGGAGAAGAGTTGCACTCGCTGGAGGGACACAGAAACGTTGTCTATGCAATAGCTTTCAACAACCCCTACGGGTAAATAAATTTGTTCTGAGATTCTTCATAATTGCTAGCACTGTTATCTTGCAAATACTATAACAAAGAATAGACTGTTTCAAATTGAAAGACTTCAGCTTCTGATTTTGTAGAGTTCAGCTATAGCTAATCACTGTAGGATAACACTGTCATTATTTGTACAAGAGATCTATTCAAACATGTTTTCTGTTATCATTTTTAAAAATGAAATATAGAAATTATAACCAAAAATTTAATTAGGTATTCAGTCTTGGAAAAAATATGATTCAGTTGAATATATTGAAACACAGTTTATTTCAGTAATATCTACATGACCAGACTGTGTTCTGAATGTTAATCATTCTCTTCTGCCTCCATGTAGTTGTATGTGATGTGAGATATAAGTACTTTAAACAATCTGTGTTGCTTCAGTTAAGGAGAAAGAAGTCAATTTCTCCATTTGCCATTACAAATTCAGTATTATTTAGGACATGATTTTGAAATGTCACAGCTTTTGAGTAATTTTTTGTAAAATCCACAAGGTGCTGCTGTGTGAACATCAGATACTAATTTTTCCACCTTTTGTTTTCTCCAGTAATTGTTTGCCCTAGGTTGGAATTGCCACCTGTTAGGAGAAGGGAATTCACCTAATATCAGGAAATAAATGCTAAAAGATTTGTTGTTACACAATTTGAAACTTCATTTCTTTCTTCTATATGAAAAGGACCCTGCTGTGTCAATGTCTTATATTCTGATAGTATTCTTTACTTTAGAAATGAATGAAGTTCATTTATATAACTTGGTGAAACTAACAACAAAAACCTGTGCAAAGATCAATAACTAGACTGTAACATAAAAGTGGAGAAGCAACATACAGCAAGACAAAACCTGATGAGATGTTTGAACTACTTTTATATTAAAAATTGATGAAAAACGCCTTTTTTTCTGCCAATCTTTAGGTTGTGCCCCTTGGTGCATTTTCTGGAGACTTCACTTTAATCTTGCTCTAACTGCAGATGGTCACAACACTTTAACTGGCTTCAGTGGGAGTAGAGTTCAACTTCTGAAATTTGGGTGATCTGCATTTCTAATTGTTGATAAACAGATGTTATTTGATGAAATGATATAACTTCTTAATAAATCTGTAAGTGCAGCACAACATCATCCCTAAAGTAGGTCAGTCATCAGTTATGAACACTCCTCTGCTAATAGATAGGCACAGTAGCTCTCCTAGAAACTCACTGTGTCTGCTAGTTTTTTTGCCTTACTGTAACTTGTGTATGTGAAATCCTGCTGCAGGATCTTGTGTGGCAGCAGCTACCAAAGTACATGGGAGCTTCCAAGGCTGAATTTCTGGATTCTGCTGTATCTGGAGTCAGAGGAATTTTCTACATAAAAATTATAGGATTTTTTTTTTTTTTTCCCCATTTAGTGACAAGATTGCCACTGGATCTTTTGATAAAACCTGCAAACTGTGGAGTACAGAAACAGGAAAATGTTACCATACCTTCAGAGGACATAGTGCAGAAATAGTGAGTAGTGATGGATGTTTCTTATTCCCTTATGTTTCCTCACACCATTGTTGATGAGTGTGAGTTCCAGCTCTCTGTGAGCTCCCACTGGAAGGCACAGTTATTGTGGCACATCTATTCATACATTCTGGTCTTGTTAACATTTCTGCACTACAGGGGAAGATATCTGTTCTTGAGATAGAATAAACCCTCATTCACAGTTTGAAATTATATTTTTATTTTTACTTTGTTCCAATTTCCCTTGTTTGCTAAACATTAAAACATTGAAAAATACCATAGCAACTGGAATTTTCAGTTTATTGTACATATTTTTTGTTTGATTACATATCACATATTTTTCTAGCTATCTTGCATTGCCTCTCATATTTGCAGAACTAAATACATAAGAACATCACTGCTTGTGTTGTTGTCTTTCACACAGAGATCTGTACTTCGTGTACAGAACTGTAGAGGAATGAATTTCTGAGATGTAAAGTGTGTTAACTGGGAATATGTGGGATGCTGAAATGTCAAAGATCTATGAAATTAAAACAGTTTAAGCTTAAAAATGCTTGGTTTTCTCTCCCGTGCACTAGGACCCCTACCAGCAACAGCAAGGACCTCAATGCACAAATTTCAGTTTAAAAGATCAGGGCAAAGACACTAAAACTCTGAATTTCAATGATGAATGAGGTTTTTTAGTGATTTTTAAAAATAGCTATACAATCACTGTTCAATGAAATATTGCTGAAAATTGTTTCTGAAAAAAAATAATTTGAATTTAATTATAGATTGAGGTCCTTAATTAGAGCAAGAAAATGCTGGTTTACCATATTGGAATTTGGGTTTTGTTTTGGTGTGTTTTTGATTCTCTGGATACTCTGAGTTAGCCCTTAAAATGGAGAATGTTTGCTTTTTGAGAAAGGCTGCAGTGATTTTGCTTCCACAAATCAATCAGGTAAATGTTTAAAGGCCTCTCCATTTTTTCTGACTTCTTAGGGGTTAGATTAGACCCAGAGTGTTATGAGTTGTGCTGACAAGTAATTAGAAGAAGATAATTGCCAGCAGGAAATGTGTTTCTCTGAATCAGACCTGTTCTGAAAGCCCATTATTGCATCTGATACATTGCTGGCAAGGGCATGCCCATGGTTACTCAGGATGAAAAAACTGAGCTACTGTTTTCCTTCTTTCATGGCACCTGCTATTCTTTATTTGCAGAGCAATGACAATGAATAATTACAGAGTATGGGAGGATGACTACATGATTTTTTAATGTGAAAAATGAATTGAAGTAGTCGAGCTTTTGTTCTTGTTTTTCTTAAATATGATGTTGTGGTGATGCCCTTGGCAAATGCCATTGATAATGACACCTGATAGGGTAAGAGTGCACTGAGTGTGTTTGTGGGTACACAGAACTGTTAGGGTGATCTTTGCCCCAATCTCATCAAGTAACAGAGAAAACCTACCAGATGATAGTTCTAGAGTGGAGAGTCAAACTAGACAGTAATTGGAGGATTTCAGAGAATTTTGAAATAAAGGAAAAACAAAGCATACGCTTGCAAGGAGTCCACTTGGTTTGAGTACTTATCCAGAGTTACGTGGTAAGGATATGTTGCTGTTCTAGTGAGCTGTTGAAAGAATTCTGCAAGTTTTCTGTATGCCATAAAATATTATCAGACCTTTATCTTATTTAAAAATATTATTCCTGACCCTTGTTTTATTTTTTTTTAGAAAATATATATAGATGGACTTCTTCAAACTTTTTCTATCTAATGTTTCTCGCTACAGGTATGTTTATCATTTAATCCTCAGAGCACACTGCTGGCAACTGGAAGCATGGATACCACTGCCAAATTATGGGATGTAGAGAAAGGAGAAGAAGTAGCCACTTTAAATGTATGTTTGCATTCCTTATGTTTTTAGAGGTGTTCCTTGCTGTCTTAGTTTTCCGGCTGAGATAAATAACTGTAACCATTACAACTGTTTTAAACCTTGCAGTTTCTTTTACCAGGTGATCCCATAGTGACTGCAGTTACAAAACAGAATAAGAAAACTTGAAGGGAACAAGAAAGCTGTGGTATTTTATGAGTCCTATTCATCAAAAGACAGATTTTCTCACTGCAGTGACATTACTGCTATAGATTAGAATCCCTTCCATCACTTGTTAAAACCTACTGCTCTGCTGTCAGTTGTGACCTCCTCTGTAAGGAGGAGGTAAGCAAGAGCAGAGGACAGCCATCCAGTTACCTCTAGATTGTCATCTCTCTTTGCTCTGCATGGCTTGCTGGCATTCTCCAGGGTCAGATTGGCCTCTGCTGCTTCAATGCATTTCTCACCCATAAATCCTAAGTCATGTGTAGTGAATAAGCTTCCTGCTTAAGTGGTGTGTCTGAGTTTCTGCAGTTGTTGGGATATCGACTATTCCACAGCTGGGTAGATCTTTCTGTCAAAATTGTGATATACTGGACAAGACAGTAAATAAAATAGTGATGAGTTATGGAAGGATTATGCTGCTGAAAAAAGACTACATATTAAACTATATTAATGGAAAAGTAACAATTTGTATTCTCATACTCCTTTTTAAAAATTCTCTCAGGGGCACTCAGCAGAAATTATTGCTCTGTCTTTCAATACCACTGGAGACAGGATCATCACTGGCTCCTTTGACCATACAGTAGCAGTATGGGATGTTGGCACTGGCAGGTACTAAAGCACTAATAAATATAACTTTACTTTGCATGATTCCAGAACAAATTAAATTAATGAAATTTCTTTTATGGCGCTTCACAAGCCTCTCTTCTGTGTTATTTCTGTGTATCTGATAATGGTTTCTGTGATATGTTCTCCACATTGTTATTTATTCTGTTTATTGATCAGATTTTTATGTCAAAGCTTGAAGCTCACACTGCCTTTTTGAGAATTGGAAGTTTAAGTTTCAGCTTTTAAATTAAAACGTGTTTCTAGGTATTACTAGGTATTTTGGGCATTAGGTATTACAGTAACAGCAGTCTTGATAGCCAAATAATATGTTCATAAAATTAAGCTTTCATCTGTTATCTGCTTGTTGATTTTTGGTTTTACTGTAAAAGGATCTACACTATTGCAACAGTGTAGACATCACAGTGCTAGGAAGTAAAAGGAGCAATTCTGTAAAATGCTAAGAATGTAATCAAGTTTCTGTTATTATAAACAAATAGCAAATTCAAATGATCAGGAAACTTTCTTTGCTGTTCATTAAGCACATATAATAATTTATTTACCCGTATATATATCTTGTGGAATGAATAAAAACATTTCAGTCACTCAAACTCATTTTGTTGTTTTTCTAGTTATTAGTTTATCTGTTATTTACAGTCTGCTTCTATTAATGATGCAGTGATATTAGCATTTGGATAATAACTCAATTTGCTAATCCTTTAATACATGTATATCTCAATTAATCTTTTTTAAGCTTTGTTGCCTTATAGGCCATCAATTAATAGGAAGCAGTATTGGCTAATTGTAACCTCTCTACTCAGATAAAGCTGAAGAATTTAATGGGACTTGTATTGCCAGTCTTGTGCAGCAAGAAACAGGATTTATGAGGATTAGAAATCATATTTCAGCTGGGCTGTCATTTGCCTGTTATTTGGGAACATGCTCACATTAAGTACCTGATTAACTTCCATTTGATCTTCAGTGGATTTTATAAAAGGTTTAGATTATATGGAGTTTTAAAGATGTACTGTTTACAGTTCATTGAAGTAGGATAATGGGAGAGTAATGTGGAAAATCTTGCCGTATATGCTTAGCATGTAGATGAATACAAGAAGTCTCTCACTGGTACTAAAAATCATCATGTTTTCACTGGAAATACATTCACTAAAATATGTTTGAAAGAGAAGGTGGAATGACTGATTTTATTCCTTACTGCCTCTTTTTGCCAAAGATAGAAAATGGAATTGATGTAGTACAAGAATCCTAGATGAGCTGCGCCACTCCATTTAATTGCTTTAATGGTAAAGACTTGACGCCTTAACTATACAATTTTCTAAACTTAAAATTTATATGTGTATATAAAAATACACACTGTGATTATTTTTATTTTTTTTTGTAGGTTGCTACATTCTTTAATAGGCCACCGAGGAGAGATTAGCAGTGCCCAGTTCAACTGGGACTGTTCTCTCATTGTCACTGGATCAATGGACAAAACATGCATGGTAAGCTGCTTGAGTAGGTAGTGAATACAGCTACTTGACATATAAAATGTACATTTTTTTTAAATTGAGGAGCATTATTTTAAAGTAGTACATACAATGAATTAGAGAGTTTACAACTAAATATAAAACCTATAATCTTACTCCTTTCAGCAAAGTCTAGTTAAGTCTTGTATAATCAATACATTGAACTAAAAAAATGTATAGGACTTCATTAAACTAGCTAAAGAGTGACTCATTATTGATTTGTATTCAGCTTTCATGTTATTACATGTCAAACATCAGAAAGCAACTCTACAAGTTGCTTTATCAATCAACTAGATGTCTATAAAGTAAATGAGTCCAAAGAAGCAATCCAGTGCCCCTGTTTGTGTGTGCAGCTGTGGAATGCTGAGACAGGGACTCACATAGCGACGCTGGCGGGGCACAGCAGGGAGGTGCTGGATGTGTGCTTTGACTACGCCGGGCAGCGCATTGCAACCGCCTCTGCCGATGGTGAGCGAGGGGCCTGCCACTGCTGGGGGAGCTGCAGCATCAAACACCATTGTCCTTTCCCTTTGGCTCTGCTTTGAATGTAGCTTGGTGAAGAGGAGGACTTGATTCAAAACTATAGATCAAGCAGTGTTTGTTGCATTACAAAAATAGGGCATTAAACTAAAAGTTTTCTCCAGTGACAGAGTTCTTACTTTCATACTTCAATCAGTTCAATGTGTCTTTCCCCTTTAACTTCAAACTTGGAAGGAAATATTTCACTTGTGGCTGAAAATACATTTTAAATGTGTGTGTAAATAGCTTTTGAGGGGATTGATTTAGTGGCTCAGACTTAGGCTTAAATGAAAAGTGTGGTTTGAATTTTACTGGTGGATTTGCTAGCAGACTTTTCTAATGCACAGCAAGAGAATACACAATAAAGAGGCAGTGAAAGAATCAGTTTTGTTTTCTTATTGGTATGCAGAAGTTTTTCATGTTTATTATTTGTCTAGGAATCACAATAAATACTTTTCTGTATTCACCTGCTCAGTCATTTATATTATACTGCAAAATGACAATACTGTATTAGTTTTAGATATACAGTTCCAGAAACAGGATACCAGACTGGATGGGAAGGACTAATTGGATCTGTTCTCCTGTACTTGCTACATTATGACAAAAGACAGTGTAAAAAGCTTCCTGATATTTAATCAATATCTTATTAAATATAATGAATAGATTATTAAATAAAATGAATATCTGAAATATAATGAAAGCTTTCTAAATATATTGTACATGCATTCTGAAATAACAGGCTTCAGTAAGCTGTGTTCTGTGTGGACCTTTGTATTCATATTTTAGGATTTTTCCAGGAGAATTAATTTCTGCTCAGGAAAGGAAGTCAATCTTTTCCAATCAGATTACAGATTCTTTTTAACAAACTTTACCCTTGGAGGAAACCCTGTGAATTTTGCCTTCTGTTTCTTCCAACATTAAACCTTCCAACATTAAACCTGAGGATGAGTTCCTTCTGACCTTATTGAGATGTTCTTGCTGAAATGGATGTTTAATCATAACAATCACATATGGCTCCTACTGCAACAGGGTCAGCTAGAGTCTACAATGCAGGAACTAAACAGTGCATTGCAAAGCTAGAAGGGCATGAAGATGAAATTTCAAAGGTAAGTTGTGTGTGGTTTGCACCTTTTGTAATTTGAGTATGTGTGACATCCAATGCACCAGTTATTCCATGATGCAGGAATACTGTTTATCATTATACCACCACATTCTTTAATATTTAAGATTGACAGGTCTGGCTAAGAAGTTGTCTGTACTAAAAGAATATTCCTTTTGGCTAAAAGCCATCAGACAATGATTGTTTACCAATTCCTCACTTCTGAGGTAAGACAATACTGGGTGTACTGAGCTGCCTTCCTGTGCTGTCATGTGATTACCATTTGATCCTTTAGAATGGTGGCAGCTACTTATGTCCATCCCTCCAATGGATGGACACCTGGCTTTGTTGCCATTGCAATGACTGGATTTCCTTAGCTCTTTCCTTTTCCTGAAGCAGTTTATCAGTTGGGTCTGCACACCCACTTGGTAAAGAATAGGGGAGCAGAGAGGGAGATGCTCTCTGAGTGTTAACAGAGCTCCTGTCTGACCTGTCCTAAAGCGTGCCTGTGTTATTCTGCCATTGGAGTCCCACAGTCTCTGACAGAACAAGCATCAAGCTTTTAATCTCTTGTTGACATCTTAAGGCTGTTGCCTGTAAGGCTTTTACCATCACCCTTATTCCTTGCTTCTACCTGGTGTGCTCCTCTTTACACTTTGTCATTTCTCTGCACATCTGAATTATGCAATGGAACAGAAAAAAAACCATATTTCTGCAGAAAAATACATGGAGAATCTCATTTTCAAAAGTGCATAAAGGATTTGGAAATACAAAGTCTGTTTCAAGAATCACTTGGTCATGAGGAGTGTGCTCACATGCTTTGCTTGTCTGGCTCAATTTGAACACCAAGGTTCTGTTCCAAATACATGTAGTTGTTTCAACATTGTACATATTTTTCAAATGTTGTTATTTATTGCTTACAGCTTTTCATTATTCGTTCAGATAGATAATCTCCCTTGCTTCCAAGCTAGTGTGCTATGTTTGTGCTGCTTTCTTGGATGTATTTTGGCATTGAAATATTAATATTTTGAATCTAGGATGGTTCTTAATGAAAAAAACCTCAAGTGCTTTCATTCTATTGATATCTGTATAATAATTTTCCTGAGAGAATAATAAGTTCAGAAGAATTGATCTTTCCTCAGTTTCTAAAGTCACTGCAATATCTCACACTCAGTGTAGACCCACTGAGGACAGTCTGAACCCCTCTCCCAAGAGGGTGGGTTAGAGACAGCTTCCATCAGGACCTTAGTGCTGCCATCATTTCAGTGCTGGTGGAGAGAATCTGCTCTTCTGGGAGCACATGGAAAAAAAAACACTTTCTGCAGATATTCTATGAAGATGTGACTACTTAGGAATGTTATTACTTAGAAATTGGATTTCTGGGAAGCAGACACTTTGCCCTCAGTAATTAAGGAATTTTGAATTAAATAATAAACTGGTATTGTCCAGTTAGTGCTTGAAAAATGTACCTGATTATCTGTAAATCCATGCAGTTATGGCAGTGAATGTTTAACAAATAGGAAGACTTATTATAAAATTAATTTTTTCCAGTGCAGATTCTGCTACTACTGAGATGTTTGTTATTTAATGTGAGACTCTATAAAATATGTATAAATTTTACATTGGAATAATGATAACATTTAAATAAAGCTGCTACATTTGCTACTAATTCTGATTTTGGGGCTGATATTTGGAAGTTATGATCCTCTAGTAAGGTCATGGTATATAAGGCCTTTGTAAATACACAAAGTTTTCAGCCACTGAAGTTTGCCAGCATGACTCTAGTGGAATACTATCCTTGATTTTAGCTAAAAAACTGAATGCAAGAGTTGCTGCTTTCTATTTTCATTTTTCAGTCACTTTGATATGCTTCTTTCTCTAGACATACTGACTAGCTAAGTAACATAACTCATTTCTGTATTTTTTAAAGGTGTGTTTCAACCCTAAAGGCAATTGCATACTAACAGCCAGTTCTGTTTTTTGAATCACATTTGAAATTTTGCCACAGCAAAGTCTGAAAACTTTCCTGGGGCCAAATGCAGGTACCAACAGTGACTTACAATATAGTGGGCACATACCAGCACCAAGCCATTTTCTCACAGTGCATTGCTGTAAGGGAGGTGTGGATGAACAAGAGGCAAAGGTTTCTAAATGGGAGCCTTTTGTGTATTTGGTACTGAACTCTCATCAGGTTTCCTTCTTTTCAGTCAGATGCAGGATATCTCAGTTAAAAATACTGCCCTAGATTTTGCTGCCTGTTAGTTGTGGAGAAAAAAATTGTTACATTAATACCTACATTGTTGATGTAGGTATTAACAGAAATGGATAGACTGTGTGATACACCTAAGTGATTTCTTCACAATGTATGTTTATTACTAGGGAGCAAGGATAACTCCTGTAGAATCTGGCACTGACTGAAGAAAAGGAAGGATCCAGTTTGATGTATTCCTGCCTACTTTGTGAGTTTCAGACTCAATAAACTCAGCCTTTCAGATTGGTTTCCTTTTACTCTCTTTGTTCACTCTCTGTTGAAGTTGAACAGTTACCTAGATTTGATAGGCTTGACTTAGATATGGCACCACAGAACTGCAGAAGTTGGAAGATCACTGGAGATCATCTAGTAAAACAGCCTGCCCTGCTCTGAACCCTGTCACCCAAGCAGGCTGCCCAGGACTGACATGGGTTTGAATATCTCCAAGGATGAAGACTCCACAGTTCCTCTACACAACCTGCTTAGTACTTGATCACTTGCATAGTAAAGAAGAAAAGAAGGGGTTTTCCCCTCTTACATTTAAATGGAATAGTTCCTTATATTTCAACTAGTTCATGTTGCCTCTTCATTGAGTAGCACTGAGAATCTGGTCTGTTATTTCAGTCACCAGAGAGAAATCATGATTAGTGAGAATAAACGCATAGGATAGCTCAATTTCTTTATGTGTAATTTTTAACTTGTAACCTTTTTAAAAAAAATAGAGCATTATAGTAATCTCTGTTGTGAAAGGAGTGTTGGTTTACACTTGCTTTGAAGATTTTTGTATTAATTTTGTGTGTGTGTGTGTGCAATAAAATATTGAATTAAAATGCTATTTTTTTATTTTTGTACTACAATGCCCCATTCATGTTTCTGGACAAAACCAGCAGCCATTTTTGAGCTGCCTTGCTATTAACTACTGAATGCATGCTGCAGTTAAACTTCCATCTCATACTTGCCCACATCTTTCCATTCAACCCATTTGTTCCTGCTCAGTCCTCATTCTCCTATTTTGAACTGAGGTAAAAAAAAACTACTACCCGTGGTGACTCCAACTTGGAATCCTGGCCCAGTGATTAAGTTCAGCATGAAGAAACTATGCTTAGCAAAGATTGGAAGCCAAGGATCCTGACATAAACTGAGAAGTAGATGAGAAACTCCTGCAAGTTATTTACCAGCATACAATGAGCTTTTAGCTCAGATTAGCATCAATTGCCTCTCCCAGAAATTGCCAAGAGGTTTTACCTGTATAGTTTGTGCCACTTCCTGAGTGCAGCTGGAAGTGCAGTTGCTCTGTGCAGGCACAGTGAAGGAGCACAACTGACTGGTCTTCTCCAGTAAAGGAAGTTACTAAAGCTGGTGTGTTGTGACTACCTCAGAGTGCTTGCCAGCATCTTTGTGTGTAAATGAAGAAACAAAAGTGCCTGTCATCACTTGGCAGATTTCCTGGTTATTTCAAGTAGTGCTGTGCTGTAGAAGAAGGGAGTAGAGAGCTGCAGATCATTTAAAATGAAACTTTCACCAGTGGCAAAGTGGTTGATACAAATATCTCTGTAATGCCGACGGTGCTTCCTGGGTTTTTGTGCAAAACCTTTGCAGGTCAAAATATATCTCAGTAAATTGGAATGGAAAGGGTCAGGAAGGGCAGTGCTGTTCCGTGTTGGTTTAGAATTGCTCAGTGTCCCTAGATTGATGGGCACCTGTGACCTGGGAGATTCCCAGCTGACAAAAATGGAGGAAAATTACTATAATGAGATATATACAATTACTGCTATGTAGTTAAAACTTGAAATTTGACTTTCTGTCACAAAGTAGAACTGTCAGTGACTGAACTGTCAAACTAGAAAATATTCTTTGCACTGTGATTAGGAACTAGATTCTCTCCCCACTCCTCTTAATCTTTTCGTCTGTTTTCCTGTTGCCTCTTCCTTTATGATTTTTTTCTTATACTACGCTAGTGAATCTTATACTACAGCTAGTGATGGCTGTAATAGCTTTTGGCTTCAAGCTCTTGTCCTATTTTTGCAAGAAATTGTGAATTGAGGTTTCATACAGCAAGCATTGGACTGGCAGGAAATCTGTGTTCTATTTCTGATTCTTCCTAGATTCTGGAGTGTATGGAGCTGCTTTTCAGGCTAAGTAATCTAAGTTTCTGGTTCATATGTGAAGTATTTTCACATCTGGTGTGATTTACTGCTGGAAAAGGTACTGGCTTGGCACCATGGAAGAGCTTCAGTAGTACTCTAGATACTCTCTGTGAATGCTTTGATATTAGGTTCTCTTCACCTTAGTTTACCCATATATGGATTTAATAAATTATAGAGATATACATTAGGAGTGTATCACATAAATGTATCTTCCTGGAACCATTCTTTGGGTCTGGTAGCAGCTTTATCCCTTTCTCTGATTCCATTTTAGTCCCTCAGCTAAAATTGTGAATGTATATGTTCTAGCTCTATTGCCTGGCACTTTTTTAATCTGCATACTTTATATTATCCAAATGCTACTTTAATCACTGTGTGGTTGGAGTGAGATGCAGCTTTCAACATTACCCTGAAATGTGACAAACTTGGCTCCCTGTGACCTTATTGAAAAGGATTACCTCAGGAGAGCCCTGAAGTGCTTTAGTAAGGCTTCTTACTGTAGAAATCATATTTGCTGTATTCTTTTCTGTCCTTTAGACTTTGAAATCCTTTCAGGATTAACCTCTGTGAATATGCAATTCTGTTTTTCTGGGAAACAGTTTGTGTCATAATTGCTCTAGGACAGAACATACACTTCACAAGGATGGGGATTTCCATGTAAGCACATGATGTGTACTTGGACTTGTGACGTGTGAGATTCAAATGCTTGCTGAATAGGTGATGACAGTAATGCTCACACCCACTCATGTTTTAAAAGTGGCATTTTGTGTGAATTTCTTTTTTTGTCTCCTTCAGTGGGATTACTCACATTTCCTAGGTAGTTAGTGAAAGAATGTGGATATATATCCTGCTTCTATTTTCCAGTTTGCTGCACTTTACTATCTAATTCTCAGCTGAAGCTGGGAGGAGGATGCAATACCCATCAGCCAGCCCAGTCTTCACTGCAAATTGTTTCAATTAGTTTGATAGTCCAGCTATCTAATATAAGTGTCTGTCCTGTTAAATGCTGCACAGCTGCAAGATGCCTTCTGAGGCCTGTTCTTTGTGGTGACTGGGTTCAGAGTGGGTTGGGAAAACTGAACTAGTGGCATTATAAGTTATGCTTGTATGTGGAGAAGGTTTAGGAATGTCTCTGGCTCAAATCCTTAAATTGGCTAGCATGGATGTGCTTCCCTTCTGAGCTGCAATTTGTTTTATTTAAGTTGGTCATGTGGGTTCTTTATTTCAATGGACTGGTGGGTTTTTTCTCTCTGTCATTTTGAAATGTGGAGTTCAGGATTCACAGTGGCATTCCTATGCTTGTCTGTCATGCAGCTCTGCATGAAACAGGCCAAGAGCAACTGTAAAACTGTCTTCTTCAGAAAAGTTATCTATGAATTTAACAAGTGACTATTTTTTCACAGACCATAAATGGTTATTTTGAGGACCATAAAAATTTTCAGTGGTATGAACAAAATTGAAGTATAGTTTTTCAGCTTCTAGTAACCTCCCATTAAAAGAAACCTAAACACAACATTAAAAATGAATTTTTTAAATATCTAATTCAAATACAGAATTGCTTTTTGATGAGTAGGAGAGCTAGTAGTAGCTCTTCATTATATGGGTGTTAGATTCAACCCTGGGGTGACAATTCGCCTTCCCCTGAAGCCGCCTCCAGGAAGGGGAGCACTGCAGCTGTGGCTGCTGCTCTCGTGGGGCACCTCTGATGGCCAGAGCATCCCCTGAGACATCTCCTGTAAGAACTTCTCCAGCTCCCACCTGAACCTGTCTACAAGTCTCGCATCCTCTCATTTGATAATTCCTCATCTCTTTTTGTTTGCTTTGAATTTGGCTCATCTGATTTTAATTTGTCATATCCTAGTTTTTATCAAGAGAGAAAGTGAGCAACCACCCCTGATGTTGCTAAAAACCTGCATCATGCTCATGTAGAAGGAGATTTTACCTAAGGCTATATGTTCTTCTTATTTAGGAGTATTTAATACCCATTTCTAAAAAAACAGAAAAAATGAAGAATGGATGAATGCTTTTCTGATTTAGTCAGCGAAGTGATGGTTTCCTTTTCTGTGTAGCAGTAGAAATACCTGTGGTATCTAGGCAATATTGCAGTAAATGCCCCTGTGAACTTACACAAGGAGAGGAAACTCCTGAACTTCTGTCTCCCCACCCTCCTGCTCACTTTTGCAGGTACTGAAAGCAGCCAGAGTGAGCACTAATAGAGGTTTATACATAGGGAGTTATTCTGGGCAATCAGGGTATCATTTATCTTTATTTTATTGTGATACTAAGAATGTTATGTTTAGCCTTTTATCTCTTGAAGGAATTGTGGAACCCGAGTAGCTTTGGCACTGAGGTAAGACCTGGACGTTTCTCTGGCTTGTTTTGGTTAAAGCCATAGATCAGATTCATCACTGAGAAGCAGAGTTTGAGAACCTCCAGGCATGGCAGGCAGATATTTAATATAGCAAAAAATCTATAGCTCATTTGTGAACTTTTTAGGAAGGCAAAGAGGACACACATTGTAACGTAAATTTATTTCTGAATAAATTGCAACATTAAGAACTACTGTACAGAGAAACTGCATCACACTGT